ATCTTGTCGTTCAATTTTCTGAGCTTCGGCTCTTCTTTTATTATCTTCTGTTTTGAATTCATCATCTTGTCGTGCAATTTTCAGAGCTTCGGCTCTTCTTTTATTTTCTTCTGTTTTGAATTCATCATCTTGTCGTGCAATTTTCAGAGCTTCGACTCTTCTTTTATTTTCTTCTGTTTTGAATTCATTATTTCGTCGTTCAATTTTATGAGAATTTGCTCGTCTTCTATTATCTAACAAGCGAAACTCATCATCAGTTCTTCTTTCTCTCATTCTCCTAGCTATCTCGACATTTCTTTGAGACATAGATCTTCTTTTAAGCTTCGGCATTTCTTCAAACTAGCTGAAAAAGTACTTTTGATGTGACTGATTTTTTCCAGACCGTAGATAATGAAATAAAATACGATTAAGTTAGTCGTTAAAATTTTAAATGAAAGCAACTTCTCACTAAGATTAAGCACGTGTGTATACCGAGTACGTCTTCTACTTAGTGAGACCTGCGTTTATCTCTAAACTTGGTGAGATAAACAATGGAAAAGTTTCTTTCGAGAAAAATCTTCGTAAAACTTGGTGAAGATTCACTCGATTCTAAGTAAGAAACTTTGAGATGAGAAAATCAAAATCTTAGTAGTCTTTATCGAACAAAAATTGAATTTGTATTTTTTATTTAATCGTTTATATTGAAGAAAATTCAATATGTATTTAATCGTTTAAATTGAAAATAATTCAATTTATATTTTTTATTTAATCGTTTATATTGATACCAATTCAATCTATATTTTATTTAATCGTTTATATTGATAACAATTCAATCTGTGTTTTATTTAACCGTTGATGTTGAAAAAAATTCAATTTGTATTTTATTTAATCGTTTATATTGAAAAAAATTTAATTTGTTTTTTTATTTAATCGGTTATATAAAAAACAATTCAATTTGTATTTTATTTAATCGTTGATGTTGAAAAGAATTGAATTTGTTTATTTATTTAATCGTTGAAATTGAAAACAATTCAATTTGTATTTTTTATTTAATCGTTTAATTGATTTTAATCGTTTCAAAACAATTTTAATAATAGTTAAAGTCTAAAAAGAAAGAATGAATGAAAGAAATCGAAGATAGACTAAATAGAATGCGAGA